TTTCATTCCAAAAATTTGATTTATCATTAAATTCTTAAAAATGTCTTGTGTTTCTTAAAAGAGTCTTAAGTTTAAAACATATAAACATTTTACAAAAGTTAAGAACTAATGAGAAGATATTAATCATTCAAAAAAACGTTAAAATGTCTTTGGTTTTTTAATAGTGTCTTAAGTTTAAAACATCTTATAAGCGATTTTCAAAGCGTTGAAAACAAATAAAAATATATGAATCATTCACAAAGCTTAAAACCATTTTGTAATTTTTTTAAAAGTCTCATAAGACTTTTGCCTCTAAAATGTTTATTATATTGTACTTCTAAAAAGTGTCTTAAGTTTAAAGCATCATTTTAAAAGCGTTATGAACAAATTAGAAGATAATAACCATTCAATAAAGCTTTAAAATGTTCTATGTTTTTAAAAAAGTTTCTTACATTTAAAACATATAAGTGATTTAAAAAGAGTTACGAACAAATGAGTAGATATTAATCATTCATGAAGCTGAAAAGCATTTTTAAATTTTATTTAAAGTCTAAGTCTAAAAGTTTCGCCATAATTTTTTTTATAAGTATCTTAAAATATACTTCTAAGTTTCTTAAAAGACAGTTAAATGACATTAATAATTATTGAAATAAAAAAAGTTTCTTAAAAGTGTCTTTTAAATATGCACAGTGTTTTAAAAGCAATAACAATAACAAGTTAGATCATATCAAACATTCTCGAAGCTTAAAAGCAACTTGTAATTTTGTTAAAAGTGTTTTTAAAGTGTTTTATAAAAGTCTTGCCTCATAAGTGTCTTATTTAAGTGGCTTAAAATATTCATATAAGTGGCTTAAAACAGTGAAGGACAGATTAAGTGACAATAATCATTTGAAATAGCTTAAAATATCTTAGTTTCCTAAAGTCATATTAGCATTTTAAGACAGTTAAGAACAAATGAGAAGATATTAATCATTAAAAAGCTTTAAAATGTCTTACACTTTTAAAAAGTGTCTTATAATGTTATATAAGCCAAGTCTTGCCTCAAAAGTGTCTTATTTAAGTGTCTTAAAATATTCTTATAAGTGGCTTAAAACAGTGAAGGACAGATTAAGTGACATTAATCATTCAAAATGGCTTAAATTATCTTGCGTATCCTAAAGTAATATAGGCATTTTAAAAGCTTTTTAAGAGTTAAGAACAAATGAGAAGATATTAATCATTAAAAAAAACTTTAAAATGTCTTACACTTCTTAAAAGTGTCTTTAGACATTATATAAGCGATTTTAAAAGAGTTAAAAACAAATTAGATGATATTACTCATTCACAAAGCTTAAAATAATTTTGTAACTTTGTTAAAAGTGTACTTTTTTATATATCTCATAAGAGCTTTGCCTCAAAGATGTTGTATAAATATCTTAAAATAGTCTTCCAAGTGTTTTAAAAGAGTTAAGTACAGATTAGATGACATTTATTAATCATTCAAAAAGTATGCATGTGTGTTATAAATGTATTATAAACAATAAATGTCTTGGAAAAAGTATCTGAAAAATCTCTTGTCTCAAGTGTATTGCTTTATAAGTTACCTTAAATGCACTTGAGCTCTTTTCCATACATTCAACATACGTTATCTGGTAACTGTGATTGGATTATGTGAAAGCAAAACGGTTATATAATATAATATCGTTAACAGTAGAACATTAGATTGGTGAATGCTATTATTAAAGCATGTTAAGCCTCTTTAACAGACCTCAGTTGACTTTTGTGTCCCTTTCTGCTGTTTTCAGGGTATAAAGCCGGACAGTTTCCACAAAGTGAAAGTTCCTGAGTTGAAGGAAATCATCGAAGGCTGCATCCGCATGAACAAAGATGAAAGGTACAGTACTGCTGCTGCTCAAACTGTTTGATTTCACAAGCTGTAATCAAATGTCTTTTGTTGTATGAATTATGTTTCAGGATTACAATTACTGAATCTAATAAAAACTAATAAAAAAAATCTAATAAAAAATTTCAAAGATTTTTGTTGATTTAAATATAGCTGAAATAAAATAAAGGAAAATATTAAATAATAGCAAAAAATATTTCTTAGTAAAAATAGTAAATGATAATAGTTAAAATAATAATAAAATAATAGTATGTTTTTTTTTTTTACTATAGTGGTATAGTAAAAGTAAAAATAAATGTTTGTACAATAAGTAAATAATTTAATATAGTTTAAAATGGAAAGACTTAGACCCAATCCCTATTCTACCCCTTAGCCCTTCCCCTTGCTTTCGCGTGAAGGGGTAGGGGTGTCCCAATTCTCTTTAGCTTAAAGGGGAAGGGCTAGATACCCCTTAAAACAGAGATTTTTCTAATCTAGCTAAGTTTTGCTATCTATAATCCCTAATATTAACTCCTGTATAGTAGTCCCATGACATACTTTCACATTTGTCACTCGATGACACTCGAATACCCTGTCAGTAATGTCTAGTGGCTGAGAATGACCTTTATACAGTGTCTGGTATAATGTTAATGCTGTTTTCGTGTGTTTACACAGATGAATATGGGCACTGTGTAAATGCACAGTATAGTTACGATCTTATTGCCATACCATATGGTTATGATAGCTTGAAATTGTCACCTTCAGTGATTTCCTGAAAATAAATACCAAAAAATAACACAACTGGAGTATCTACAGCAGTCGCGATCGTCTGGAAGAGGAAGTAATATAGATAAAAAGGCACACAAAAACTACTTTAAATTTTAAAAAGGACACAATTAAACTAAAAATAAACTGAAAAATGGAAATCTGCTCATATGTCAAAATGAATAAAAAAAAATTTTAATAAATAAATAAATAAATGATAAAACCAAATAAAATACACCTGTCTGAACAGTGAGGTGTGAAGACTATATTGAAAATAATTGTAACAATTTCATCATTATTTCTCTCAAAAAGCCATACTCAAATCATGTGCTTGTATTTTTATTTTTACATTACATATATTTATATATATATTTATTTATTTATATTTGAATATC